AAAGAGGGAGAGAGCACGCTGAGCGAATGAATAGAGAGAGAGAGAGAGAGTAAACCAATAAGCCGGTACTTACAATACAGGTGCCTAAACCCTAGGTACGTCGACGGTTTCTATGGTGTGCGTTGACGCGTACACACGACAGATGGGCCACCACGTGCATCGCACAGCTCTATCTCCTTCGGTAGTAGTTTCTAGTACAACGACAGACTTATCCTTGACACCACCGGTCGCAGCTCACGTGTCCGAACTGTTCGTAGAGTCTGACGACGTCGCAACCTGCTCTCTAGTAGAGATACACACAACAGGGGCGAAGAAAAAGGGCAGAAGGACACAGCTAAGGTTCGACAGAAGAAGGCAGTTGATGGGACTCGATCCGCTCACTCGCTTGTCGAAACAGCTACTCCTCGCGCCGCGGGCTTAACTACTCGATTCCGTCTTAAGGGGGTACCCCTCAATAGATCGATGAAAAAAGTCTTTTTTTTTTTTGCATAGATCGAAAGTACATCATTTCAAGAATGTGCTGTTAAAATATTGGACCGAAATTCAGAGCGGTTCAGCCGCTATAGCTATTTTCGTATAGAAACTCTGGCACGCAGGGCAGGTAGGCAGCTGCGCGCTCGAGCGGCAAGGCGCCCCGCTGGGCGGTGCGCTGCAGTTCGCTTCCTACTTATAATATACAATGGATTAGATGTTTCTCGATCTTCCTTTGTATAAACTGTACGTTCGTTTACAGGGTCAGGCTAGGTGTAGCATAGTAGGTACAAAGATTTCTGGGGAAAGGTAGGGATTCGTTTGGGAGACCGTTACTACAGTTTGCTCAGTTTTATTTCGGCTTTTGGGTAGTGAGCATCGTGTTTCTAGTTTTCACAATTTGAAAATGAGTACTAGTTATCCTAAGAGCGAAAAAGAAGAAGGCTATCGTGCCGCAAAGAGACGAAGATCTTTCCGCAGTAATCAATTCTCAACTGAAGAAGGCGAGCAAGTAGGATGTTTATGAGCATCCAGCTCCACTACACCCAGATGTACAAAAACATTTAATCCCGATTTATCAAGTTTTATCGAAAGATGATTTATTGAAAAGATGCTTAGGTGGCTACACGCAAAATGCAAACGAAAGTTTCAACTCAGTCATTTGGCGATTAGCTCCGAAGCATTTACACTGTGGGCCAAAAACTGTTGAAATTGCCGCTCATACAGCTGCTGTACTCTTGAATGACGGATTCTATGGTGTACTAAGAATTATGAAATCGCTGCAGTTCAAGATCGGGCTATCCGCAGCCAACTACGCGAAGAGCGCTGACGATGAGCGCGTGAAGCGTCAAGAAATCCGCAGCCAAGAATCCACAAAAGCAGCTAGGACTGCTAAAAAACTAAAAGCTGCGAAGTCAAATCAACAGTATGATGAAGAAGAAGGTATCCTTTATGGTGCTGGTATTGCTGATTGAGTGAAAACAAATTTTATTCGATGTGAGTATGAAAAAAAATGCCGTTTTCGCCTGCCGCAAACTTTAAACGCGTTTATCTCCGAATCATTTTTTTTCGATTTGTCGATTTGGCGGGCGCTCTTACTCAGCGAATTTTCAACTTAAAAAAAAAAAAAAAACCATTTGAACGGAAATTAAATAATCTCGTCGATGTACCTATAAAATTCTGTCAAATATTGTTTGTTAACCGCTTTTTTGCATGAACAATAAAAAAAAAATATATTTTTTTTTTAAAAGTCCGCCATTTTGTTAAATAATTTTTCCGAGCAATAAATTTAGGTTCATCGACGAGAAATATGTCTAATGAAACTAAAAAAATGTTTTCTGTATGTTTCAGAGTGATTGGAAAGCCAGGATTTGAACCGCCAAAAAGGAAAAAAAAAAAAAGTTTATAACTTTGAACGAGTACTGCACATTTATTTATTACAATATTTCTCTAAAAAAAATTTTTTCTAATTTGTTAAAATTTCAATAAAACACAGTCTAAATTTCATGAAAAAATATTGAATAGTTTTCTTTTAAAAAATTCCCAAAGTTTTCGTCGATTTTCTGCGATCTATTGAGGGATACGCCCTTAATGAGGCAATCAGTGCGCGCAGTCACTCCCTAAGGCGCGACTATATTTCTCTCTCTCTCCGCGCCTTGCTGTCGCGCACCGAAGTATCCCTGCGTATTCGTATCTCTCTCACCTCACTTACCTTATATCAGAACAGAAGTGTAACTACGTATGTAAATATATAATAAATAAATATAAATACAATAAATTATTGTTAATTTTTTCCACTCCTGATGTTTGATAATTATATTAGTAATCTTGATCTTAGGAGTCGTCCCTATAAATAAACTAAACACTTATTTTATTATAAACGTTTCGCAATTTTATTTATTGATTTTTTATTACCGATATGTGGATGACACATTAATGTGCATCAGAAGCATTGACTTTGATCGTGTTTTCGAAGTATTTAATGATTATAATTCACATTTGAAATTTACTTATGAGACAGAGGTTAATGGTTCTATTAATTTTCTAGACTTATTAATTACTAGAAAAAATAATGGGATTATTACTAACTGGTACCAAAAACCAACTATGTCGGGACGTATTTTAAATTACAACTCAAATCACACATTAAAACAGAAAAAGAATATTGTTAATAACTTGATAGATAGATCGATATTGTTATCTGATGAAAGTCACCATGACAATAATATATCTATTGTAAGAAACATGTTATATAACAATGACTATCCGGAGGAATTTGTTGATGTGTGCATCAGAGATCGCATTAGAAAATATACATATAGTCATAACAATACACAGAATAAAAACAATAACGATAAACCGACAATTTACTTTCCAATTCCATTTAAAGAAGAATTTTTCTATAAATGCAAATCATCATTAAAGAAAAGTAACATTGTATGCATACCAAAAATGACAAGCAAGCTATCTAATATTATTGGTCTAGGCAAAGATAAATTAAAGAAATGGGAAAAAACAGGCACAATTTATAATATTCAGTGTAAACAATGTCCATCGAATTACATCGGTGAAAGCAAAAGAGCTCTCAAAAATAGAATTAGTGAACATAAATATTCCGTGAAAAAAACTATTGAAGATCCAGTCAACTCTAGATTTAAACTTTTACCTATACCGGCCCATATCGTGAATAATCCAGAACATGAATTTGATTAGGAGAATGCAAAAATCATGCATTTAGAAGCTGATTACAGAAAGAGATGCATCGCAGAGTCGGTGTATATTAAAATTACGGATAATACCATCAATTCACAGGAAGACACAAAATATTTAAACAATCAATACTCAAAAATACTCAACATCATAAAATCTATTTAGTTTCAGTACGAAAAATAAACATAGTTATTACAATACATCACTAATTCCCTTTTCCTTCCAGTGTTTCCCCCACTCGTCAAGTACACTCTTTCTCTTGTTGTGTCTCTCTCTGTCTTTCTCTTTTATTTCATATACAGTACGATATGTCATTATATACATAACAGTTACTTAGCTTTTAATTTGCTGATCATGATGTGTTTTTACCCAATTGACAAACTATGTTTTTACCTAACTGACAAAAGATTGTTATTCTATTTTTATATTTATTATTAGACAGAAAAATTAATATTTATTTAATTAAAAGTGTAATGTTTATAACAGACTATGTATGTGCGGAAGAACTCTTAATTTATTCAATTTTATCTACATTACAAAACGTATGTTTATATTATAATACAATATTAATATTGAAAGAATTCATTTATTTATAATAATATATATATTCAACAGATGTACTGAGGTGGCAATAAATAAAATTGCGAAACGTTTATAATAAAATAAGTGTTTAGTTTATTTATAGGGACGACTCCTAAGATCAAGATTACTAATATAATTATAAATACAATAAATTCATGAATACATAGGATAGGTTCAGAGAAATAGGTTACATTTTCTTATCACTACTAGGAAGAGAGAGACATAACGAGTCAGCAATTTCAATCGTTATAATGGCTTCTAAATATAGATTATCCTCTGATCTTATCAAGCTTATTATTTTAATTTCAATTAATTTCTGCATTTAAATCCTATTTGTCTAATCTTAATGTTTCCATTGGCGTAATCAAGAGATTAGTTTCATTACATTCGCTAATAGATGTGGATGTAGCCTTGAAGCTCACCCTTTGGTTGTTTCATTGAGATGCTGAGTTGCTAATTTGATTACTATTTTGATTGTTAGTAGTAGTATCCATGATTAGCTTGGCAACTATTGTTACAATACCTAAAAACTTAGAGATTAATGGATTGATACCATTATCAGTGTGAATTATCTTTTAGTTCATCATGAATTTCATATAATTACTTCTATCCGAGTCAGTCGTTATCTGAAAAGTCGAAAAACTTTTTCCAAACTTATTATTTTTGTACTTGCAGATTGTACTCGTAAATCGTCGATTCATACAACGGTTTTTGAAATAAAGAGAATCAAGGCCTTTTAAAGGTACACTGGTTTGTTTGTGCATTAGGCATCACTATACCATATTCTGCAACACTTATAGCACGGACAAATATTGAAATCACCAAAGGCTTTATAATATTGAAAATCAATGTACAATTTAATGTTATTATATTTTTCTTATTTTAGTACAAGTATCACACAAGATATCAATGATAGCATTTTGACCATTTTGCTTATATTTACAGTAAGGTGTGAAGCACTCTACATATACAATTGTGCAATATTTTGCATAAACATTATGACAGATTATACTAAAGTAATTTATAACTGTGGGTCATTAAAGTTTCAGATGAATGTACTTTTATTTTCATATGCTATTAGATTTCTTAAAAATATAAGTGTAATTATGATCGAAAGATATGTGACTATCCTTGTCAATGCCGAAACAATGATTTCCGAAACAAAATAACTTTTTTATGATAAAGCTATTGTTAAAGTATGTATTTTTTCTAATTTTTATTTAATTTTTTTATTGCAGGGTCTGAATCCAGGTAGAGCCATTGCAGAAATCAAGAAGCATTTAGCTAATCTCAATTACAAAAATAAATCTAAAATATACTAAGATAGACAGAGAATGAATTATCGATTTAATTATCAAAGATATGACGTAAAATCTCAAATTAGCTAGTGTTATATTTAAAACTATATTATTTTTGAATATTGAGATGATTCAAAATTTGGACATGCTCATTCCTATCCTTCTTCTTTGTTGTCTTCTTTGAAGATTTCATAATAGCTATAATTTCTATTAATTTCTTTCTCCTGTACTAATTTTAATATTATATATGAATTATTTTTGTTCAAGAATTAGTAAGTAAATAAAGTGTAGATTTCAAAAAGTTACCACACAAAATGAGAATGTTTAAAATAGAGTTTTGACACTCAATCACTTCGACATCAAACAAATGAATTCTCTCTCTCTCTCTCTTTCTCTCTCTCTCTTTAAGTGCACATACCGCGAATATTTTGCCTTACAAAAATTATAATATGCAACGTTCCAAGCTATCACAATCAGCTCCTGAGAAGAAAATAATCAATTTTTATAAAATTGTTATTGTTATTGTTATTGTTACTTCAAGAACTACGTCCACGTGGAACGCTGCAGAGATAAATTAACAATAAGTACCTATACGCATTAGTCTTGGTTCCCTATCGTCATGAATATGCAGACTCACCCCTCTGATCATTTTTTTTAAATGGTGTAGGAGGATAAAGTTGAAGGCTCATCATGACTGGACCTACAGCTTATGGTAGAATCCGATCCACCGGAATCACACACATGAAAATTTCATTTATGAAAATCCTCATATATCCGGGACTCGGAACTGCGACCTCTTGCACAGAAGCCTAGACTCTTGCCCACTAAGCCACCGTTACCGTGATATGGTATAAATTTTGTCTATATAGTAGTGAATTTCGTTATAAATTTTTAGATAATTACGATGTGTAGTGCAAAAGTTATAGATAATTAAAAAATAATGAAAATTTTTCAAAAATTCATATCGTCGCAATCATTAGAGCTATCATTAGAATTTTTATAAATAGTTTTCAAATAGTTTTTCTCTGGATCCATCTAAGAACTCACTAAATCCGTTATTCGAATGGAACAGTCTAACGTTACAACTAAAAAAACTTGTTCTGATCACAGCTGCAAATAAAATGGCGGCAAGCAACGGAATGAGTAACGGCTCAGGTCACTATTCACTTCGAACAAAGAAATTACTATTATGCTCTGTTTATTGTTCCGCCATCTCTTTTGCGAAAAAAAATTGGTCGGCGCGCTGAACTTGCATATCTATGTGATAGTTAGTGATTTATGGCGACCGATCCATGCGTCGGCCTGAATTTCGAGCTCACCAAAGATAATCGCGAATAACGCTCGAAAACCACTCATTAAATGCAGACGTTACCTCTAGCTGCACTTTATCCTGCCGAATCCTCGTAACAGGAATATGGCTAGCGCGTAATCAACAAAATAACTCAATAAAGACACACGCGGAAAACAAGGTGCACTCCTTAGCGATCATACATAAAAATGGATGAGTATCGACTTCGTCGTCTTCTTGACAGTGATTCACTCCCTCTTATACAATGAAAGAATTTTATTATTGCTCAAAATTGGTTTTTGGATGTTTGGTGCGCCCTCTCATTACCCTCAATGGCGCGATATGTTATTACTTTTTGGTGTGTTCACACATTTATTAACCGGTCCAAGATTTACTTCCACATTCGAAAGCATCAGTGTTGAAAGCGGAAGTCAATTTCTGAAAGTTATCCTTTCTTGGTTTACCATTCGAATGACGTCAGCGGCATGATTCAAAATTTATTTTAAATTCGCAAAATTATGGTCGCTATGATCAATTTCGCTATTCGCTGATTTTCTTTTCACATATATACTACGAGTCAGCTGGTCAATGAATCATATTGTTATTAATTCGGTTTAAAACGCCATTATCGGTACACTGTTCTCCGACGGTCAATAACTCATACTATTCGATAATGGAAAAAATTGAGACAAACAAATTTCTATTGCTTAACCTGTTAACCGAACGGGACGTATAAATACGTCCAAAGTCAACAACAATAAGTACGGGTAGGACATTAGGGTGGTTCTTAATTTTTTTTTTCTTAGTAGAGCTTAGGTCCGGGTTAAAATGGCTTCTAGGTACTCTAAAAACTCTGCGCAAATAGTTTTTAATTTTTTTTTATTGTATTAACACGTGCCTCAAAGCACCTCAAGTTTCCCATTGATTTTATATGGGAAAAACGAGTTAAACGGTTTACCCATCCAAAACCTAGTCTAATTTTCAGATTTTTAATTTTAAAACCACATAATCGTGTGTATTTTGAGTCGCTGAATCGAATGGCACTATTAGTTTTTGTCTAAAATGCGATTAAAAAATTTTATAAGCGAAAATTGTCAAAAAAAATGGAAAAATCAGTGAAAAAAAGACAATTAACTGGCTTGTAATGTTTGTAACCAGTCAGTTATGTTTTTAGAAATACATATTTTCATGTATTTTGAGCTGTCAAATCGAATGGTATCATTAGCTTCGTGATAGCTAAGCGGAATATTAAAGTTATAAGCCAATATCGCTGAAAAACTTGGAAAATCACCGGAAAACGGAAAATAACTTGCATACAATGTTTATATCCGGTAATATATCAGATATTTCTTCGCGCTCATGTCAATTTCTATATATTTAAAGCCGCTAAAATGAAGAGTACGAGTATGTTTTTGTCAGTATAGCCACACAATTTAGTTATAAACCAAAATCCTTGAGAAATTCTGAAAAAGGAAAGAAACGGAATAAGACTCATATGCTTTTATTGAACATTGTCAATGATAAATAGTAAATTTTTCCACAGTACTTCATATATTTCTTGACATAAGAAGGAAATTCAACGACTTAACTGCTTCATTTTTGAATATTAAAATTCCAATTTTCATAAATAAACGTATAAATACGTACTATCGTAAAAAAATACACATATATTATTTTAAAAAATTTTTTAACGGTGCAAACTATCAAAAGTGGTAAAAATAAATAAAACTTACAAAGTATAAAGGTGATTAATGTTTTGTTTTGATTATTATTACTATTTGTACAATTTACTATCTACACAATTTGGACAAATGTCCAATCGATTTTTATTAAAAATCATCATTCTTTTTTCAACTTTGACATATCACATATTGATTTAAAATACTTATTCATAAGGTTTCATCAATGTTTCTTTTTTGCTATCTGGAAACAAGCTTCGATAATCATTTATCACAGCTAATAAGTATTGTGATTGCTTATAATCCTTAGTTAGAACCTTGTTAAAATCAGTCATTAATTTAACTCCTCTTTCCGCTACATCATTGACTACTTTGAGATTCTTAATAATTGCCAAGCCATCAATGTAATGTCTATCCTTTGCCCATTTTAATGGATGTTTCGTCAAAAAAGATATGTTTATTTTGTAGCGTTCAAAAAACTTATAGATATGTTTGCATATAAAATTAGAAATATTTGAATTAACCAACTCAATTAAATTATTTTCATTAACTAAAACTCGTTTTTCGTAAACAAAAGCACTACAACTTGATTCCAAAGCTTCACACATCTTCAACTTCTCTGCAATGGAAATGTTATTGTCGAAAAATGCTAGAGCCGCCAATTGCGGAGTCAAGTACCATAAGTGATTTATAAATTTTTTGACGGTGGCATCAGATATACTTTGGTCTATGCGTCGATATTCATATAAATATTTTAAAAAGTTCAGATCTTGATTTGGTGCTTCAGCAGCAAGCGGAGCACAAAACCAAGCTTTAGTATAAACTCTTATTATAAAAATACAAACATCTCTACATTTTATTTCAAAATCCTTATTACTGGATAGAAACTGTTTTCGAAACAAGAATATTTTTAAGCAATAAATTGTTTTTGCCATCCATCGTGCATGATGGATTGCTCCAGGTGGATGGAAACTCAAATTATCAGGTGCGTTTTCTCCAAGAAAAATAGTCACCAGTTCTAAAAATTCTCTGTAATCGCTTCTGGTCAAATCCGTTTTCAAATATTCCGAACAAAAATCTAAAATTTGTTCTCGTACGTCTTGGAGAGATTCATTTACGAAAATATCATTGACGCCTGACTCCCAATTTGTTTTGTCAATAGTTTTCTAAAAATCTTCAAATTCTCTGAATAACGGTACTTCAGGGCCAGTGGACTTTCCAAATTTTATTTTAAACGTGCATTTTAGTATGAGCTCATATATGTGATGTCTGCAAATCAAATAGAGCAGCTCTTTATCAAGCAATCCTTCTAACAGTACACAAGCACCGTTTTTCCGGCCAGTATTGCTGGACGTTGAATCACAGCAAAGCGATTCAACATTACTTGATAAAGACCATTCAATCAAAGCCTGAAATACAGCTTGAGCTTGATTTGCTCCCGTGCTGGAAGAGAGTTTTGGTACACCTAAAAGCTGCTCTTTTTCGCCACATGTGATAATAATAGCAAGCCTATCAGAAGTTTCTTTCCGTAAATACTCTAGCAATAATTTTCCATCCCTGTGGATCGTACTTGGTAGGTTAGAGAAAAGATTAGAAGCAAGTTTCTGAATATCGTTCTTTTCGGAATGTTTGACGAGCCTTGTGGATAGAACTATTATTCATTACTAAATCGCGCGCCTCTATTCCATAAGCTTCAGCTGCTGCCATCAGCAAATGCATTGAGTCCCTCTTACTAATTTTGCATTTGTCTAATGCAATTGCTAGTTTTGCAGTAATGACTACTTCAGTAGCTCGTCGTTTCACGGGTGGTGTATGTTGAGACATTGGCGACTCAGATTCTGGTCCAATCAAATCATCTAATATTTCTGCAAAAATGTATAAGCCAAATTCACTTAAAAAGTTAATTAAATAAAATCACTATCAATTAGATTAATTTATAAAAAAACATTATTGTAATCAAATGAAAGTTGATTAAATAAATAATTTTCCATTGGTTATAAAAATTTATACCTTTTGACACCATTTTGGGAAGATTTTTGTTTTCCGAGATATATGAAACACTAGCAACCTCATCCTTGTCTACTTTAGTCTCAGATTCATTTTTCTCGATATCGATACCTTCATTCTCTACTTCCATTGGCAAGGGCTCATTAGTCTCTGTATTATTTGTATCGGGACTAGAATTTTCTGATCTTCGCAGTGCTGAAAATTAATTAATATGTTTATTGGAATAACTAAAATCATATATTTTATTTTTAAATTATTTCGACGGAAAAAATAATGCGACGTTATGAATATTTAAACCTCTAGTAATCTATAATGTGATAAATTTATAAATGCGAATAGGGATGTGA